AGAATGAGAGAGATGTTAGCCACGGGGTTAAAAAAACAGCAGAGCAAGAAGGAAAGGCAGGTCGCAGCACGAGGCAGAGACCAAGGAGACCAATAAAAAGGTGAAATAAGACCCATTGTGCAAGCAGGGAAAGAGAAAAAAACCACTCTTCTCATTCTGTCTTTATCTTCATATCAGCCTTGCTGACTATACATCTGTGTACAAGTGTGTGTTTGCATCCACATCGAGAATCCAGCATGGGGTAAAGCATGGGCCGTGTGCTCCCGTCAAAGATGGGTTTCATTTAGTTGAATTGGGTGGAAGTGATGCACAGAAACATTCAGGGGTATTTGTGTGTGTGTGGTCACATCATACTACGTGGGTGGGCTTCAATTTGAGAATCAGCTCTTACACAAGCCTGCCCGTCCCTCAGACTACATCCTTTTCTGGAGCTTTTTGTATTGCCACACAATACGCCTCCTCCTGTCACCTTGTTTTTCCTCTTTATGCTCGCTCTCTGCCATGCTGCTAAACTCATCCGCCGTCTGTGTTTCTAATGTTAAACAGATGTAACTGATATTTTTCTCTGATGGGCAAAAATCTCTGTCTAACTGATGAACATTAGCTCCATTTAAGATGGACTTAGCTTCTGCTAATGTACTAATAAATGGTAGATGTAGCTATCACGATGTCACCTATTGGTTTCCAGTTCTGAAGCCTCAAGATGAGCTTTTCCACTGTCTTGGTCATTGGTTGAAAGCCCCGGTATACCAATCCTGCTGGTCAGTTCGCATGCCACCGGTAATGTTATCACACAGCCACATACATTTATGCTCGCCATTTCAGTGCAAGGGCAAGACGGTGGTTAGCATTGTTGCCTCACAGCAAGCAGGTCCTGAGTGTTCCTCCCACAGCCAACATGCATTACTGGGGTTAGGTTCATTGGTAATTCTAAATTACCCTTGTGAATGTGAGTCTGTATCTCTGTGGGTATCTGTGTCAGAATGGAGTACCCTGCCTCCCGCCCTATGGTAGCTGGGATAGGCTCCAGCTCCTACGCTGAGGTCATGTCCACACTAATACGTTTTTGTTTGACAACACGTCGTTTTCTCTCTGCTTTGGTCCACACTGAGACGCGTTTTGAAAACGCTCTCGAAAACGGAGACTTTTCAAAAATAATGACACATTTTAGTCATGTGATGCAGTCATGGGACCAGTTAAACTAAGATAGCGGAGAGCATTATACAGCAGTTGTTTTGTTTGCTCTCAGTTTTGACAGCCCTATTAAAGATTAACATCAGTTTGTACATGCTCCTGATAGCTTTTCTTTAACTTCTTTCATCCTCACTCACTTTTGCAACTTTGTACTTTTGTGTTACTCGCGGCAACAACTCCACCTCATTGTCAGTCAATGAACCAACATGTTTCTCTGTGTATCCTGAATGTTTAAATAAGCAACCTTTAGTAAAAATGCAACTATAGCAGCTCAAAGAGTGAAGTCCAGATCGGGCTGTCATCGGTAGTTTGCATCGCCGCTACTACTGATAAACCATCAAACTAGCAGGTCTGAACACTAAAGCCAGTGTGGGTCACTGTGTATCTCTATTTCTTGTTCATGGCCACCTGAGGACACTTTGGTTTCCATAAGCAGTCGGATTGTAAAGACGGTGACCTCAGTGAGCTCTTTCATAATGAAAAAAGACTAAAAGGACTCTCTGTACCGCTTTCCCTCTGCCATTATGCTCTCTCGCTACAGCCTACGTGCGTCTGCTCACCCGATACACGGCCTCACATTGATAGCATTGCTATCAATATTTGGATAGAGCCGTCCATCCCAGTTTAAACTCTTGTGCAGCACTACTTTTGACATAATAGATCTACCTCACCATGTTCTTGGTCCCCACTGGAACCAAAAACAGGAACTGCAACCACATTTAAAAACCTCCCCTAACCAACCCTGTTCACAAGAGGACTTCCCAAACCAAACTGATCTGATTTAGGTCCAAACCAGATGCAGCTGATATTGTCACTTGTGTTATTTGACAGATAAGAGGACAGAACTTCCAATCAATTAAACACACTCACAAATAAAGCAGTTTGTTACTCAAACCTTGAGTTAAGCTGATGTTTTTATTTCCTTAAATACAGTCAGATGGAAAGTATACCAACAATGCAACAAAAGGTCAGTAACTATCAGGAGGAGGAGGCATTTTCTCCCCCAGCAGTCACGGGTATAAACTCTGTCAAGGAGAAAAAAAAGGAGAGCTGTCAGAACTTGGTTATCCCTTCATCCCCAACCGCTCGTCTCTATCCTTCGATTCTCCATCCCTTCATCCCTCCACCTAACTGGTATCAAACCTCACGCTGACTGACAGCCATCCCTGTGAGGCTTCATTGTCTGAGAAAAAAACGAACACACACACAGACGCGCGCACGCACCAGCCATCTGAGCCGATGCCACGACTCCCCGTCAGCGGTTGCCGTACTCGTGTTTTGTTGCGTTCTGACAGGCTGGTGTCGGCTTATGCGGGCCTGCAAATGCGTTCGGGGCTTCAGAGGTCAGAGGTGCGCCGCAGCGTCAGCGCCCAGATGTGTACTCTCCCTGACGTGTCTGGCCAAGCAGAAAGCTACCAGGAACAACCCTGCACATGTGCACTAGATGATAATAAAGACCCGAGGTGCGCATCCACTTAGGCACGTTGACTCGGCACGTGGAATCATTTGTTTGTCTTATTAAAGTCGAGCTCAATCGTCATATTTTCGAATTCCAGCTGCAAAAACATACCCGCGATATCAGGAAATTCAGTTTAACACATCGTCCGCATTGTCTTAAGATGCAATTAAATGGAATATGTCTTCCTGAACAATACAAACCTACGTGGCTTTTAAAAGAGCCCTTTAAACTGTGCAACACTGATTGATGTGCACGCACAAGAAAGAAAATCCCAAATTGGCTCAGTTATAGAAACAGAAACTTTGCCAAGTTAATTGAGCCAGTCACTATCAACAAAAGTGAAACAGCTAATAAGATGAAGGAAAAGGGGGATGAAAAAAGATGAAAAATTCAATCCTATAAAGGCGAGGAAAAGAGTCGCACGTTTACAGTCCAGTAAAGTTGCAAAATAACGTGATCAAGAGAAATGGAGTAAAAACATGTAGAGTAATAGCAACTCATCACGGGGAGGAACTAACAGAATAGTGTCAGTATAATTAATCTGTGAGTGTGTGAAGGTTGGAGGCTCATGAGTGGGAAGACAAAGACTTTTCTTTTTGTTTGGGTTGCTTTTGTTTTGCTTTTTTGGCAAAGGAGCGCCGCTGTAACCGTGACTGTCCTATGAAATTGCGCGTTCATTTACTAGCTGATTGCCCAGGGTCTGTTGGAGGTCTCGGGCCGATTGAGGCTTGAAGTCCTGGGCTGTGAAAACAGGGAACAAGTTCAAGACAAAATCTTTTTTTTAAAAACTGCACTTCAAGTTTGCGAATCTTTAAAACACATCCAGAGCGGGCGGCTGCGTGCAAAACTCTTACGTCTTCTGCACAATGCCAAAACCTTCATCTCTGCGGTGACACTTTCACAATTTCTTCTCGAGCCATCGCTTTCTTTCGCATCCCACGCGGAGGACCACATTCTTAAAAACCTCACTGGAGGAGAGCCAGCCGGCTTTAAGCTGTCCACTAAGTCTAAGCTGTATGTCCACGATATGTCTGAGGCAGCGCTTACTGGCTCTGTCTGTTTGCTCAGCTTCAGCAAAGCCCATTGTAGTTTTTGTATCTCCTCGTCTTTTACCCTTGTTCCCCTTCCAAGAGAAAAGCCCTCTGTTTTTACCAGCATTGAAAGACAAGTGAATTTTAAGAAGAAATAAAAAGGGAAAAAAACGATAAGGGGATAATTTTAACAGGAAGAAGCAGAAGGAAAAGACGGCCGCCTGAGGATGTGCGCTGGTGGGAGAGTTCACGCAAGGAAGAGTATCGATCCAAGCAGGTGAACCAGGGGTTTGCCCTGGTTTGGAGTGTATGAAGATTAGCTCTCCTGCCTCCACCTTTCCCTCCATATTTCTCTCTCCTCTCCCACAGTCTCTATCCCTCCTTATCATCCTCCTCTCCCTCCCTGGCTCGCCTCCCTCTGCCCACCTGCCTGCCTGCTGCTTACAAACACAGCTCATTTCTGTCTGTCGGCTCGTCGTCTTGCCTGCTCTCTGGAACCTGCTGCTGCTGCCGCCGCCGCCGAAGACTGAGAGGACCTGAGACACTCATGTGGCAGCCTGCCAACCTGTTTGTGTGTTTTGGATCACTGGTGTCTTTATCCACCATCTCCGTGTGTGTGTGTGGATGCCTGAGAGCAGAGATCCGGTGAGCTCTTACAGGGATAATCATTGAACGTGTTTCAAGTGTCTTCTTAATCACACGAGCCCCGCCTTCACATACAAATGTACACAAATTGATTTTCCTATTAAGTCTGCAGTTCTCTTATGGCACGCCAAAGTGGTGCGCGTTTCACTACGAGTGCGTGTGCGCGGGCGTGTGTGTGTTTGGGTAAATCTATAGGCAAGCGCCTGTAGTACACGTGGGAAGGAAGAATTTGAGAGCTGGGAGGCAACTAAACGAATGGCAGCACCATCAGTCTTGGTAATTGAGTTAAATTTCAACATTTAAATCAGCAGTTTCCTGCGACCAAAGGAAACTTTCCTGCTTTGCATTTTGTTTTGTTTTCCGACAAACGTATTGACTCAGAACAAGAAACTTTTTATTTCTATCACCTCTCAGTATTCAAGTGAAAAATACTTTGTTTTAAGCAGGCAATGCGTATACTTTATCTGTACTTAAAAGCCAGACAGCACGCCATAAAACATGTCTGCTGGTTACCGCTGCACTGAGAGCTTCACAAAGAGCCTTTGGTTCAGTCTCGGCCTCTATTTACTGGTGGAAACCTTTCCTGATGACCTGTTCTCTCCCACCTCTTTCCCTCCTTTATCCACCGCAATCATCCTCCTCCATCCTCCTCCTGCTTCTTTGTCCTCTAGGTGTAGCAGAGGTGATAGTTCTCGTGGGAGGGCGTCAGGCTATCGGGATGAACCAGCGCTCTCTGACAGCAGTCACCTGTTTTAACCCCCAGAACAGTAAGTGGTACCCACTGGCCAGCCTGCCCTTCTACGACCGCGAGTTCTTCAGTGTCATCTCGGCGGGAGACAACATCTACCTGTCAGGTGAGCTAAATTGTCCACTCCAGCTGTATAACTGTGGCGTTCCTGTCACAGACGTTCAGTGGTGTGGGGCCGGAGATGGGAAAATGATAGAGGGACTTAATAACAGGGCAGTTTTGAAAGGGTAATCCTTAAATGTGTAAATAAACTAAACTGTTAAACGTGTAAGTAAACTAAACTTTTTTTCCCATGAGAGTGTTTTGGGATTACTCGTGTACTTTACAGCCAGGTTTGGCTCTGAAGTACTCCCTTGAAATTTAGCCCAATCGCTTCTTGTTGACACAGGATGATTCACAGGTTAAATTATCAGGTCATGTTTTAGTTCAAAACTGAATTTATGCAAAACTCTTGACCTTAATGGAACACACTCGGCTACTTTTTTTTCTATTTATTCATTTTTTTGGCCTTTGTTAATAAAAAAATTACTAAGCGTGAATTAAATTCTATCATTGTGAGCTTGTTTAGCTCAAATTATTATAGACTCATCATCCCACAGCCAGTTCCTCTCATGATTTATTGTGTGGAACAATATTGATTGTTGTCAAACCCAGGTAAGGGCAGACTTAATGGGGGGGGGGAGTCATTTACATCCTCTGTTGAGACGTGCTTTAGTGCCATTAACTGCAACGAGCTGTAATAACAAAAAAAAATCCCACCTCAAGTTCAGTTTCAGAGTTCATTTTCCATCTCAGCAAACGCAGTGGTCAAATCAACTTCAGCACGCATGCTTCAACTTTTTAATCAGCACAGACGAGCAACAAGGCAAATTGCTGAAGTAGACCATATAGTGCTATATAAGCTGCAGGGTACCGGCTTAATGGACCTCGAGGCGAGATTAGAATTCGCATATAAACTCGAGCGGTTTTGTTTCTTGGTTTTTATGACGCAGCCTGTAGCTGTATAAATGCTGTATAAATGCTTACGAGCACGGTGTCGGATTAGGAAAGCCACACGTGAGTTAAAGACGGTCACGAAGTTGTCTTCAAAGTTGACATTTGTGACCTCTTTTTATTATAGATGTTTTTCCTCTGTGGCGACTTTGATTTGGCAGAGTGAATCTATCTGACCTTTTATGAAACAGTTCAAGAGTTTTAAAAGGGGGCCAACCTCAAAGCTCACGTGTTGCTTTGAAACCCTTGCTCGGCCCTGTGCTGCACACAACTCAAATGTCTTTTCAGAGAAGTCGTTTTTATATAGAATGGTTTTGGGTTTTTTTTTTTAATAGACCTTTTCCCTCTCTGTCTGGCTCTGTAGTTGCTGCAGCGTTCTGCAGTTTGTTTTGCTCCACTGTGGCACACTGTGCACTCTGCGACTCCAACAATGAGACACGTTTAGGTTGCTTCTCTACCAGCAGACTGAATTTCTGCCTCCATGGTTCATTTGTGCGAGATTCTCACACGGTACTCAGACCTTCACATTACACAGTGGAAATGCAACACGATTTTCTTTTTTCCTGCATGCACCTTTTCCTCTCCCTCTTTTCATATAAATGTAAATGTGTTTTCGGGCATTGGAACAGGTCTGCATGTGTCCTCTGGGAGTCAGACAGCCAGTGGGGAAATCAGGGTTGTTCTTGCCAGCCAATCAACAGGCTCCGGCCTGTAAGCGTCCTCGCACTCTGAACAGGGTCACTGAATCACGGCTGGTGTCACATGTCACATAACACAGCTAAGAGAGCTGCTCTGAAGACAGCTCAAGCAAGTACAGTTTTCTTGGCTGGCTGGATGACTCAGCAGCAAACAACTTTCTGACGGTTCAAGTTGTCCAAGTCTGCCACTGTTCCTCTTGGGGACTGGAGGGGTGGGCGGGTGGGGGGGACTTCTATATGTACTTTAAGAGTGACTTTTATTAAATATAAAAGGCAAAAAAATCAAATTCAGAAATAGTTCTTTAATCTGAAATGATTTCATTTCTATTTCTAATCTAATAGGCGCAGGTGCTGTGCAGGTAAAGGAGCCCCTGTTTGTGCTTTCATCACATCTCATTGATGTTGAATTGCACGAGGAAGCACAGTCATTCTCATTTTCCAGCTTTTGTGACACAACTTTTTCTTTGTGTTTGAGTTGTGAAGTTTGAAATAGAGGAGTGGTGGGAAAGGAGACTGAAAACTTTTCTATGGCACTTTTCGGAAAGTTACAAAGTGTTAAAAAATAACAAAAAAAAAATACATGTAATAGAAGTAAAAAGAAACCACTATATTAGATATAAACTCAATTTCATTTCATTTATTTAGATGGCACCCAATCAACACAACAGTTGCCTCACGGCGGTTTATATTGTAAAATCAGATGACTTTATGTGAGCAAGCACTTGGTGACAGCAGGAAGGAAAAACTCCCTTTTGACAGGAATAAACCTCTGGCAGAACTGCAGTCATCTGCCATGATCAGTTGGGGGTGTGTTTGATGTAAAAGAAGTTGGATAAATATAGGCAATTGTGTAATAAAAAGAAGAAACGCAATAAAAGTAAGTATTAGCAAAAGATTGAGAAGAGGATACAGAGTTTATCTGGCTCACATCTCTAGGCAGTAAAGTCCACAGTTTGAGGGTCACAGGGCAGCAGAGGTAAAAAGTCGAGGTGTGGATCTCTAGCAGCGGACGGTCTCGTAGGGAGTTGACAGATTGCAGATATAGGCAGGAGCCGGAGCACTGAAGGCTTTTTGAACACTCAGTAAAACCTTAAAATCAATTCTGAAACTCCAGGGTAACCACTGAAGAGAGGATTTCTGTGAGGCGGTTGCTTCGCTTACTGCGTGTTGAAAATCTTGGCAGCAGCGTTTTGTAACAGCTGCATTATTTAAATGTTTCACGTGCCGATACCAGAGTAAAGTGCATCGCAGAAGTCGAGTGTAGACGAGAGAGAAGCATGTGTGACCTTTTCTAAGTATGCAAGGAAGGAATAACCCGATCTTGGTCAGCTGTCTCGGTTGGCCAAAGCAGCACTAACTTTCCGTCACCTGACCGCTTAAATACAATAACACGGTCATAAATAACACCTAGGTTG